TGGGTTCACTGCACATTATATATTTATTCATGATTAAGAAAATAACCATTGAATTGTTCAACGGATATCTACAAGTTCCTCTATAATTTGTGAGGTCGAGTCTTCAGCCAATCACGTGTTTCCTTACTTATGTGTAAAAGCAATAACGTATATGCTTATGTTTCGCTCTATCAAGAGTCATGTTTCTTTCATTAAATAGGCAATAAATCCCTGTATGTCTCTTTATTAATACTAGGTCCTGGAACTCCTTTTTTTATGGTCAGATAATTGTATGTATATTATTATTATAGTCCCACAATACCACAATATGAGCTCACCAGTATTCTGACTTTCTCATTTTTCTAAAAACACGTTTCCTTCTTCAAATAGATAATTCTGAAAACACATTATCAATCTTAAAATCAATAATTTGACAAAGAAATATATTAATGGGGGAAAATCGACTTGGCTCTTTTATATAGCTTGCATTTTGTTATTTCTTTGTGTTTCAATCATCTTTTTTTGGTTGATTTTAATTTAGTTAACATTACACTATTCATTTTGTTCAAAAGTTCTTTAATTTTAAAATGAGAATTCGATTTCAAGTTCATATCCACCCACTGGGCAAATTTATCAGCAATTTTATGTAGTAGTCTAATTTTAGGTTATATTAAAAATGTTTTAGAAGGTAATATTGAATGGGATTTAATATCTTAATAACTCTAGAGATGGATCTAAGAGCTGTTTAGAAAGGAAATTTGGTCTATGCATCGGCCAAGCCCGCTAAAAGCGATTGAGTCAAAACATTGCCATACTTTATGTCTCTTCGCGATTTTCTATATATATTTGTTTTATTTCATTTGAAAATTTTAATCATAATGTTATTAAATATGTTAGTTGATTCTTTATATTTTTAGAGAAAACGGCAGCCCAAACGAGATGATGTACAAAACAAGCACAACGTTAGACATTAATGAAGACGTTGAAACCGCAAGTAAGTTCTTTTTTCTTTCTTTAACTTGCCATAAACGTTTTTTATTTCGAGCATTGTGGTTTTTCCTGCTCAATATCTAGTAGACAGTAACGAAAGCGTTGAAACTACACGAAAGTTAAATTCGTATTCAACTCTAACATTAAACTACTTAAAGAAGGTTTTGTATCGTTATGGTGCATTACAAGCTGGTGAAGCATGATTACAACTATACTTGTCATAAGACATTAGTATTAGGCCTATTCAATTTCTGAGCACTACATACTTTATTTAATCCTTTAGGGATTTTTAAAAAATCAGAAGAGTGAATAATAATGATATTCCAACCACCCTGTATTTGTCATATCCATTGCCACCGATGTGTTTCGCTCAATCCAGAGATATTCAGACCATTTGATACAACAAACGCAGTGTAGAGAAGCTTCCAAAGGAAAGGATGACTTCTAAATTTCTTTTTGTTACCTACACTTTCAAGAAAGATCCAGACGTTGAGCTATTCGTTAATTTCATGACGTCAAAATTCCATTTAGTCAACATTAATACAAATGTCTAAATATAAATAATAATATAAAAACATAGCTGACAATACCTTGATTAATTTAATCTACTCAACCAAAGAATAACACCCAGTAACTTTAAACCTCAGTCTATTCAACTTTAGTGTAGTATCTATGATTTATAAATTAGATTTCAACTAATTCGGACCACTTAACTTAGTGAAAAGCAACCAAATCATATTTTGAAAAAAATAATCATTTTATTGATTCGGTCTGTTTAACGTTAAACAATAACATATTGTAGGTTACAAGTTAGATTTTTTTTTAAAAGTAAGCTACTGAACGTTAATGAATGGCAGCATCTAACAGGCTTAAAAATTACATTTTGATTAATTGAGTCCATTGAATTTTTGAGAATAACGTTTAGTAGGTCTAAAACATGGGTTTTGATTAATTAACTCCACTCAACTTATTTCTCTCTCTGAGTGTTAGATAATACCCTATAGTTGTGTTTGCAGGTATTGATTTGTTCAACAGCAAACATTCATAATTGCAGTTAGACAACCAGAAACTCGTATAAGCAGACTTTGAAATTTCAACGATTGATGTAGAATTAAAAATCTGTGTAATTCAAAATATATACACATTCAAATATACGTAATTCAAAATATATACACATTCAAATATACGTAATTCAAAATATATACACATTCAAATATATGTACTTCAAAATATATATACATTCAAATATACGTAATTCAAAATATATACACATTCAAATATATGTACTTCAAAATATATACTAATTCACGTGTACGTAATTCAAAATATATACTAATTC